ATGAAAAACGCATGTGCTTGGTCGGGCCCGAATATATTTGATTTGTTCAATTAGTCAGTCATCATAAATCTGAAATCGGGAAACAACAAATAGATAGAGAGAATGATTATAATCCATGTCTCAGTCTATATTGTATCTAGAATGGAGGAATATATAATCCCTTATCTAATGGACATGTCATTGATTTGTTCAAAGTTTGACAACGAATTTTGAGAGCTACGATTTCTAGTCGGGATTTTGGAGTCGCACTTGCAATAATAGTTTTAGAATTATCAAAGTGGGAAATTGTTGGATTAGATCTCTAAGCCAATAACTATTATTAGTATGTACTCGACCCGAGAGTAGCATGGTCCATTTGGGTTGCATATCATCAGGATAAATTGTTAGGATGGACTTTTGAGAGAAGAGATTATATATGATTTGTTAATAAATTATAATATATAATACATTAATATGAAATCATATGTTTTAATTAGTATCGATCAAGAATTAATATGGAATTAATTTAGTGATCAAAATAGACTAATTAAATCTATGGGGGCCAATTATGATAATTAGTTATATTTATATGTGTTGGGCTTATGATCCATGTTGTACCAAGTTTATGTATGTATACATAAAGAGTTGGGCCACATGAACCATGAATCATAAAACCCATGGGTATGGAATTGGGTTATATCCATGACTCTTGAAATCCCACATATAAATACATACTCCATTGCCCAAAAATGACACTTGTATCTTCTTGGAGTTCATGGTGTCATTTGTATACATGGAATTCTCTCTTAAGTTCATCCTTTGTCCATGATGTGTTGTGATTCCACTTGAGGCTTCCACACTATTGGGGCTAAGCTTTTTAAGGCCAAATACACCAAGACTTCAAGCTCCATCAAAAGGTATGTTATGGTAACTAGTATCGTTTATGGTTTATATCAAATTCATGCTAGTTGTAAGATTAATACCTTGGAAACCATTTGCATGTATAATTAGTGAAAACATAGATCGAAGGTATTTAGGGTTGTATGTGCACCATAGGATGTTGTAGTATACTAAAACCCCATCAGTTACATGGTTTACCGTTGAAGCTGAATATGTAGCTATTGGAAGGTGATGTGCACAAATTTTATTGATTCAAAATCAGCTATGAGATTATGGTCTAAACTAATCAAAGACTCCCATTTACTATGACAATACCCATGCCATTCAGATGATTCAGAATCTAGGACAACATTCCAAGAATAAGCACATTGATATTGGTCATCATTTCATCAGGGACATCATTCAAAAAGGAAAATTGGAGTTGTTCTACATTTCATCCACTGATTAGTTGGCTGACATTTTCACCAAGGCATTGGACAAAAAGACTATATATAAATTAATTACAAATCTTAGCATGGTCTCAATGACTTAATTGTTTGAGTTACCTTTGTTTCTTTTTGTTTTCTCAAAGCACAAAAACACGTGCTTCTTTTATTATGTCTTTAGAACTTTATATAGTTTGCTTAATTTTTTATTCTATTATTACAAGTATTTTCTTTTCTTTTTATCATCTATCTTTCAGGACTATCTTCGATTTGCTGCACCTCTTCCTTCCAAAGTTAGAAAGAGTTGTAGTCATCTAGAATTTTCTGAATGCTCTAGTTGTTTAGAAGAATATTGGCATCATGTCCTATTCTTCTTGATAATGCTCTCTTTCTCCTCCACTCACTATTATAGATGCAAGCAGTAATCATCAACACAATGAGTCTTGATTTCATATAATAAGTCATAATCTGATAAAACCTCAAATGCCCTCACGTTGACCTTGTCAACATGATGGTTTCATAGATTTGATTCAGTTAACTCGTTGGTTACAAAGACTATTTTCCGATCCTCTTTTGATCTTGATGAACATTGTAACATCAGTCAAATTTAAGTGAAAGATAATTCCTGTAAATATACCAAACACATATTATAAACAATTTACTTTGTAATGTGAGTTAGTATTTAATGAAATTTTCATTCAACACTATAGTGAGAATTAACTATTAGAATATAAGAGAAAGTTGTAGTACTCGGAAATACCTACGTGTGGATATAAAGAACGTCAAAAGCGGAGCTCATATGCGAAAGATATGATCCTCCAAAGATATAGCAGTCTGATAGCATGACACAACCCCAATCTATCATAGCTCGCGACGTGAGGATCCTCCAGGACACTTCTTAAGGCTAGAAAACTCTTGGTAAGGATACAGGATAATTCATGGAACCTCACAACGTGACCACATGTGTGTCACGGCGTAAGAGAGCCCTGAACAACCTATAAATAACAGTCGAGACTCAGTCATTCAGTACACCTTCTACTTTCATTCACTTTGGTTTTTTGAAGACCGTTTCCCTTCCTGAGCCTAACAACGTCGAGCCTCTGATCGTTTTTCAGTTGGATTCTATCGATGAAGCTACTAGGGTTAGTTTCACGACCCTATTTTTTAAATGTTTTTGGGGGAGAATGCATGCTAAATATTGTATACAAGTTATTATTATATCATCGTATGTTTGGATTAACATAAATAGTTATATGAACCGGGACATAATTTTTTTGTATCATATATACCTAGGATATATCTGATATTTTGAAATCATACAACTATCATAAACTTGTTAGCATGTTGTTATCATAGATTTTATGTTGTTGAAGATCTGATTTTACTAATATGGCCCTGAAATTATACTCGGGAGTTCTATATACTATTTTGTGTTATAGCCCAAAGTTATACTCGGTAGTTCTATATACTATTTTGTGTTATAGCCCTAAAATTATAATCAGGAGTTCTATATACCATTTTGTGTTATAGCCCTGGAATTACACTTGGGAGTTCTACATAGACTTGTTATGTATTTTATTATTAATGGTTTTATGTTAGTTAAAATCTGGTTTTACGTCAAATTATAACTATTATACAAGTAAAGTTATGAGTAATGTTTACAGCATAGACTAGTAACTTAGGGTTTTAGACACAAATATGCTTTCACTATTGGAACTTGACAAGTCTACATGAGTTATTCAATTAATCAATTAAGACTGAAAATCATAGTAAAATCCTCTTACCTGTAACCGCTAATCCCGTGTGAGCGAGGAAGTTGTGTATAGATCTATACAGGTTGAAACCCCACCCGTAGTTGCTAGCTACAACCCAACAGTTTATTTTGGGTGACAAACTAGCCCATTCTATTCCTATCTGACGTCGATGAAGCATGCATAATCTTTTAACAAGGTGCGACACTTGTAGCACCAATCAGAGGTTTGAAACTAGTCATATAGCCACGGTTATGGACTCATGGTAGCACAATTATAGTCTATAAACATTATAATTTGTCAATATACAAGTATTAATGTTAAGTATAAGATTCTAAAATACTTATACTATGAGTACAATGAACTTATAGGTATATAATATTCATTAAGTAACCAATGGTACCTAGTACACACACTCGTATAGAATTAAAATAATATTTATACGTAGTAACCTTCCTTTATATGAGATTACAAACACTTATACTCATAGTATATGAAACTTATAGATATACCACTTATTCAGTAAGTAAACCAGTATACCTAGGATATATACAATATGTTGGAGACAAGTATGAGTCAAAATGACACTTTCAAACTACGTTTTATAAGTTTTGAACTTCGAAAAAGCACTATTTTTACTCAAAGTCAAAACCTGTGGACTCACCAACTTTACGTTGACGTATTTTCAAATGCATGTGTTTTCAGGAACTTAATAAGATGGAATATTACTTGAGTAGGAAACTTTTGTTAACAAATATTACTATCCTTTTTTTTTATATGAAACGTCTGTCTACTAAGATGTTTGTGGTATTTTAGATACTATGTAATAATGAAAAGCAATACAGGAATAATGTAACTTTCTATTATCAATAAAGGTGGTTAATTTATAAAATTCTTTTGTACTATTCAATGTATGTTTAATAACTATGATACAAGAATGAAGTTACACCGGTTGGTGTTTCTGCCGCCGACTGAGGGTGTGAAAAACATGAAGCTTGGAATCCATCTGCAGTATCTCAAATATAAATGGCTTCATCATTCTTGGTTTATAGTGAGTTGTATTGTATATGTGTTTTTTCTTAATTGTGTTTTCTTTTATAGCTAGATTTGAAGATCAAATTTCTCGAAGAAAGGAAATTTCTTAATGAGTATTTATTTCAAAATATTCTTCTTTTGAAATATCACTCAAGAGATTTTCTGCTTTTATGATATTTCTGAAAAAGGCGACTCAAGCCTTATGAAAAAGCTGCAAAAATATCACTTTTAGAATATTTCCTTTTTTAACTAAATAATTTGTTTGTATCTTATCATTTTGTACTATGTAAAAAAAAGATTTGACGATGGAAATTCATGAGCCGAGTATGTAACTATTGACAAATCATCGTCCCTAGAAGCATGCTGTTGTATGTGCCTAAATCTCTCTAAGTATATCTTCAGCAAGACCATTTTCTGAGAACATTGAGTCACCCCCTCACGTTGATTGTCTAGCATCGTCTAAGCTTTCTAAGTGAGATTGCATGCTCCAAATATAAAACATTTATAGAATGGATTGAGTGGTTATTCATGGTTAACTACCTTACCTGACTCTATCCCTGGAGGCATGTTTTCCTTATGCATCAAGTCTTATGTTCTGATGAATCGTTGAGCATAAACCAATGGCTTACCCGGATTAAACCATTTCTTGTTGATAGGTTATCATTGTTGATGATTCACACTGATTCTAGCATGACTGAAACAATCCATTATCTCCTTACTTTCTTCTTTAAAGTCTTATGATTCATCGTAATGTACCATATGTTGATGAGAGCTTCAAAAATCTATGGCGATGGTTAAGCTAAAACACCATAACTTATCACACACATCATACCACTCTTGCCATTTTCTTCTAATAAAAGTGATTAACGAGTCAGCGTATGTAACCACACGCTGACGAGATCTTGCAATACTATCCCACTAAATGGTAGTTTAAGCCCACGCTATCATTGAATAGTTGAATTTTCTTGACTTGATCATTAGTGCTTTGAACATCAACACTTTCATCAGCAGAAGCAAGAGCTTGAGCAAGTTTAGTAGATAGACATTTTCCTTTTTTAGTTTCTTTTCTTTCTCGAATAGCAACATTATTTTCAATCATGATTTCTCTCACTTCATCAACAATTATATCCCATACTCCAGCTAGAACATTTAGATAAACAATAAGTTTGGTTTTCTTCGAAGGAGGAGAGGCGAAACGATCACCAGCAGCAGAAGTTCCAGTTTCAACGTCATGAGCCCTCCCTCCCTTTGATAAAGAAGCCTTCCTCTTTTGATGATTGACTTGATCATTATCAGACTCAGTGTCACTATTAGTTCCCTGAGGAATCTCCCCCTCAAAATATGATTCAGGGTAGATAACATTTTGAGGAATAGCAGAAAAACTAACTTGTGGCATGAATCCCAGACCAATAAATCCTTCATAGTCATCAGTCTCTGATTGTTCACTAGCGTCTGGGATAGGCCGATCATCTATTTTTGCATCAAAGTTAGAATTGTTGCTCTCTTCAGCTACACCAATTTCCCTTTCAACCCTTCCCAATTGAGATACTTCACGTTGAAATGAAGCTGATGCAAGAACCACCATTTGCATTTGTATTTGTTGATTAGTACTCTCTTGACTATTCTCACCCTTTTTGGCAACATCAGATTAGGGAGGAGAGCCAGGATTTCGTGAAGGAGTGAGAGGAGGAGGATGAGATGGCGGAGGAGGTGGTGGAGGAGGAGGATTTTATGACGGAGGTGGAGGTGGAGGAGGATTATCACCTGGAGAGTTTGGTGGGTGTCATCAATAATCATATCATTATCCCCTAAGGCCATAAATTACTTTATATCAGCAACATCCTTATCCATTCTAGTCATCCTTTCTCCCATTGACTGAGTAGTATTCACAAGTAGAGAATGTTGAGAAAGTACATTTGTTTCAAAATTGGAGCTGGATTCCCCACTGATAAAAAGTAGCAGACTTAATAGGCATTGGCATTAGAGGAAGAGTCTCAGCTTGATGAGAAGGAGACACTGATCTTGGAGAGACCACATTTAGGATCAATGGATCAACAGTTTGCACTACAGGTGGAGTTGATCAACATTGCACAAGATCATCAGCAGAGGGAGTGGATGAAGAAGTAGATTAAAAATGAATATGGTTGTTTACTCTTTGAGGAGATTTCAATCCATGAACAAACATCACCATTGTCTTCTTCTTCATAAACTGTGTTTTCTTTTTCATCATCCCCTTCATTATTATCCTTATCATTCTCTTCTTCATCATTATCCTCATCATCTTCTTCTTTTGAGTCATCATAACCATTGTAGAAGTTATCAGCTTCTTTTAAGATCGCAGGCTTACCCCATCTATATTCATCAATCTGAAGTTCTTCAATATTTTACTAGCTCTAGGGAGATCAACGCATGATATCCTCTTTCTAGTTCAAAAGTACCGAGTCCTTCTATTCTTTTCCATGTGTTATATATGGAAGTGAAATGCTGCTAGACGTTCACAATTGTTAATATCAATGTATGTTGAGTGTTGTGCAAGTGGGAGATTGAAAGGTCTTGTAATCCTAAAATCCATTATAGAATGTTATTTCTAATGACATATGATTCTATATGGTCACACCTTATACCTACTTACTTCTAATTGATTATTATTCGTACAATTTATTTATTAGTAAATATTACCAACAATTGTCTTTAATTGGAAAAACATTATTTTATGAAAATAATATTTTCCAAAATATTTAGAATTATTGTTTCTAGGAAATAAAAAAGAGAACAAAAATTAGCAACTATCATAAGGTATGATTATTAATGTTGTTTGCAAACTTTTCACCACTTTGAGTAATCACTTAGTTTGTTACTAACTAACTAGTTGGTTGATTGTGTAACAATCCATAACTTAATTTATTGGCCATTCAGTCATAGGTTGCATGGAGAGGCAGTCGCATCTTTTTTTCTTACATGATAACACCCATGCTTGTACTTTTGTTGCATGATTTGTCTACTAGATGGTATGGTTTCTTATTACTAAAGTTTTAACATTTAAAGAAGAGTAAGTAACCAAAACACTATGAGTTTTTTTGTCACCATTCTCTTTAAAATAGGTATGTCAATTTTTGTGGCTTTCACCCCTTTTTCCCTCTCTATTGTTCTTGTACACGTTAGAATTAAAGGCTCATATGTACTGTCCCAAAAATAAGACCCAAAAATTTCATTTTCAATTTAATAAAATGGTGATCCAAAACACTTTCATACAACTAAGATAGATCAATGTATATTACTACATCAAAAAATATTAGAGTAAGTAACAAAATGAGGAATAAAGTAGTGTGTACTGTACAATCACCTCAAGCTCTTGCTTTTAAACCAAAAGTACCTAAAACATAAACTTATAACCGTAAGCACAAATCTTAGTTAGTTCCCCAAAATACCACATACCATATATATATATATATATATATATATATATATATATATATATATATATATATATATATATATATATATATCAAACATACAATAGGCTCTACCTAGTATACAAATATGTTAATCAACAGGCCCCTCCCAATTAGTGTAACGAGCCTTGCCTTAACTCGCATAACAAGCCGTGCCCACTAAGTATAATGGGCCTCAAACTAACTCGCACCATGGGCCCTGCCCAACATATAAACATGCATGTATAACAAGTAATAACTTATAAAATAACACTTGGACCCCTCCTACTAAGCATACAAACACGTAAACATGCAAGAGTCATGTAGACATCTAGCACCATAACATAATAAACCCTAGGCCGGCAATGGTGGCTTCGACCCGCTAAACATGGTGAGGAAGACTCACCTCAGACTGCTAAATATCACAGACAAAGCTCTGGATCCTGGTCCGAAAATCCCCACGCTATCATCATAAAATAAATCCATTTAATAATTAGATCCCGACTCATACTAAACTAGGGTAAAAGAACATTTGACCCTTTAACTAGTTTGGCCCAAGGCCAAAGACTAAACTAACTATTTAAAAAGGCTCGATTCCAAAATGGTCACCCGAAGCCTAAATATGGCCTAATATACCAAATTGGGCCCACACCCCTTCATGAGCCTTAAACTAAAAGAATCCAACATAAAGACATAAGCCCAAAATAGAAATTTGATGGCCTAACAAGGCCCTAATATCCTAATGTCTAAATATGGGCCTAAAACCAAGAAGCCAAAAATCCCTAACCCACCTGATCAGTACGTGGGGGGGGGGGGGTACTTAGCTCGTACGCTTAGCAAGTACTCCCTTTGAGGCTAGTACGCGTAACGTACCATCTTGGTACACCCAACGTACTCCCCAATTTACCACCCCACTTCATTAAGCACATAATACATTGAGACTTCAAGCCAAACTCTCAGATCTAATTCTGTTGGGTGACTTTTGGAGTGAGTCAAGAAGCTCATACATGCATGCCTTAATGGGGATCAAGAGCTCAAAAAGGACTTAACCAAGGTCTTAACACAATGCATGGTCCAAGATACATCATAAAGCTTGCATTTTTATGAATAAGGGGACCAAAAGAAGCCTAGATCTAACACCATAAACTTGTTGAGTGAGTCAAGAAGCTCATAAACCACTCTAAGGACTCAAAAAGCATAAAATAACAACATAACTAGATGTAGCATCATGGATCATCAAGATGTGAGATTTTTACCTCAAAAGATTGAAAATGATGAGAAAACACTAGATTTTCAAGCTCAAGACACTATCATAAGGTTTAAATAGGGTATAAACCCTATAAATTAGGGTTTCACTCCTACCCACGTATGCCATATGTACTCCACGTATGCCCCACGTACGTGGTTAGGACACGTGATCTTGAATTGCACTAGTACGCCTAACGTACTCCAACTTCCTGAAGTTTGCAATTCCGCCCCTAAGGACCAATTTTGCAGAAGATTAACACTCCCGGGTAGTTTGAATTGGGTGTCATAATTCTTCCCCACTAAAATTAATTTCATCCTCGAAATCATTTCTTACCATCCCAGGTACGCCAGCTAGCTTGAATAATTTGACCACACATTCGATGCGTACCGAGTAAGCAACCTCGGGCATATAACACTCTTCCAAAATGCAACTGTACCCAGACTTACTAGGGCTCCCAAATCCTAAAAATGAACGAATCCTTACTCAACTTAAATTAACCCATGAAGAATAAACATTTCTACTCCACCCAAAATCTAAAATCCTAAAAAAATTTAACTCCTCAAAAAACATCTCAAACTGAAGCATTACTAATTCGACTCAACTTTGCATTCTTAACTGATTATCTAACTTCTGGTTACCTAGTTGTTTCCCATAGAAAATAGAATCACTAACCGTTCGCTGCATCTAGAAACTTTTCACTTGATAAAAAGGTATTAGATAATCCTTCGAGTAAAAGAATCATCCTAAAGCTAACAAATCCATGAACATAATCAACAACATGAGCCAATCTGAGAGTTAAACGTTCTAGTGTTGAACACATCACTGATTCCTTAACTGTCGAACTGTTATGCTATTGTTATAATTCTGAAGTCCCATAACTTTCCAGACCTATCCACATGTATAACCATTCCAAAGCACATTCACAAGGGTCTTTCCTACCATAAGCACTAAGAACATCCCTTTTTGACACTAAACTCTTCATTCGATGACTTTGGCATACAAATTCCTTAATTAATATCTTGCTGAAATAAAGATCTTATACATATACACTCACGATTCCCGATTCGAGTCTCAACCAAAAACCAACAAGGTACATAAATCGCAACCTAAGATCCAAAGATTTACACTTGTATTTCACCTGAAATCTTCTAAGTCACAGAAACCATTCACTAAACCAGGATATACAAATCCCCAAGCTACCGCTGAGACTACCAGTCTCGCACCTAGTCCAACTACCAGGTTCATGAGAGTCCCACTGATAAGGCTACCCTAGCCTATGCATCACGCATAGCCACTCATTGACCACATAATCATCCCACTAAAACCATGATCCAATATCTTGACCCAACCGGTCCCTACCAAGTCTCACATGCACTACAATAATCACACGGGCCCCACCTACAGATCTCACCCAGTCTATACCAACAAACAGGCCATGACCACAGTTCTCAGCCCATCGAGAGATACACGGGCATAACCTCGCCTCAGACCAATGGTCCTCCTCTTATTATAGAGAAATGCTCTCCGGCAATACCACCCGCCTTTCCTAAGGCACAAACTGATCATCATTTATACCAACAACCCCCAACGATGGTATATCTTAATCTGGTGAATACTATGATCCCATCGCAAACTTATAACATTACCAAAACTGTCTAATATCATGGTGAATTCTATATCTACCTCGTAGTCTTACAAGTCTTCCATACTATATGCAAATCCAGTGAATGCTACGGCCACCCTGCAATCTTATGACACCTCAATTCCGCCATGGTCACCTCCCATGGTTTACCACATCTCTACCAAACCAACCAAAACCGACCTGAGTCGAACCCACATCCAACTATATCCTATTCAGGTATTTGGGTCATGCTTCGAACCCCAAAGCCTTTATCAGACAAGAACAGGAAG